GGAGCTTTTTTTCTTTAAAGTTCAGATTATCCTTGATTGTGAGAAATCTAGATTGTGATTAGATAGTTTATATTTCAATTTTAAATAAGAGTTGGACTTGGGTCAAAATCTAAGGGGATAAGGTTCTTATCTTTCCACCCAAAATCATGATGACTTATTTATGGGATGGATGACTTTGATTAAATCTTTCTCCCCCCACAAATTTCCTAAATTATCCTAAAAATCTCTCTCCCCCCACCCCACAAATTTCCTAAATTATCCTAAATGGTCTAGCTGAAAATTGAATAAAGCATACCTAAATAAATCCTATTCAAAATAGGAAATAGATCTTGTTTCTATTTAAACAAGATTTGACTCCCCCTCTATCTACACACAAATCCTTTGATAAATTGTGGTGCTGATAATTTCACTTGTTTGGTAATGGGAAAGCTGGAAACTACCTGTAATATTGTTCATTATGTATTTTCATTAATATAATAAGCGAAACGCTACCTTAAAGAAGGAGATCATGTATCATTCAATTACAAGTAGCAAACCCATATCCAACAGCTCTGAACCCCCGAGTAAATCTTTACTTGAAAAGGTTCAAAATACACAATACAAAAGAGTGTGAATATAACAAGTAATAGAATAATGAAATTGTACATCTTAATAACATGAACATCCTAATTCCAACCCCAATTCCCAAAGTTGGTCCCTGACCCTTGCCAGACCTCAATTGCTTGCTCATCTTTTCTAGCCAAAACCATTATATTCACACCAAAATCCAAATGTGTAATCCTACTTAGTCCCACTTTCTCCCGCCTCCCCATCACATTCTTTCTGAACACCCTCTCTCTCTACACCAATCTCTCCTTCTTTAGTCTTTACCACCCATCAACACCTCAGACCGCACCTCCACATTGTCAACCTTGCTGCAAAACACATCATTTCCATTCCCAACAGTCTTACAATTCACACCTTCTCTCTTCACATTTCCACTCATAACTTTGCAACCTTCACCCAAAGAAACCCATCTCTCACCAGAACCCGATCTCCTCAAATTCGTCATGTAACCCCTCACCTGAAACCAACCCAACTTTGAAAAGCCCCCAAATCCCATCATTCACTGTAACATCAGCAAAACAATCCTCCTTGTCTTTGATCTCAAAAACCTTGGAGCCAGACCTTATATCCCATAATTTAATGGAACCCACACAACGGAAACGTCCACTGTAGGAGCCTGAAGCCATTAAGAGGCTCTGGTAAGAAACTCAATTGAGCTTTGTAGCTGGAATTGCAGATCCAATCTCAACCCCTTGTTTCTCTTCGTGACTGAGGTCGATAAAAGGCCTGAAACTCTCTCTATCAAATACCTGAATCAGATTTGAGTTTTCTCAATAGGATTCAAAGCTTGCAAAGAGAAATTTGGGTAAAGCCCCAATTGCCTGCACTGTTGAGTCAACTGGGTCATCCCAATTTAGGGTTTTGATGCCCAATCCACCATTGATATCAAGGATCCTCACTCTTGAATAGTCTAAAGCTACTGCAGCTGCAATTGAGGGAGAGAGTCGGGCACTTTCACCCTATTACACAGTTATCAAACGCCACCTTAGGGTTAGTGTTTGGAACCCTTGGTTAAGTGTAGAGACTTAACCAAGGTGGGTTTGGCTTGAGGAAGGGTTTGATTAATGGGTTTTTAGGGTTAATGGGTGTTTAGAGTTTGAAGAAGGGTATGATCACTCTTTTTGCAAAAGTTTTCTCTCTCCTCTCACAAGGTAGTAGAGTCTCTCTAATTCAAGCATGCAAAAAAGGATCTCTCATGGGTGCGGGGGGTGGGTATATATAGAGTCTCCACCTAAACATGGGTGGATGCTTAAGAATGGGTTGGGTTGGGGGAAAAGAAAAAAAGGAAAAATTATAAAGAAATTTGGGTAAAAGAAAAAAGATTAAAAAGGACATGGACAATGTCCAAAAATGACAACTAGGTCCCTCAAAGAGGGCCCCTTCTGATCCACATGGGTATGTGGTCTTGTTTTTGAGGTTTCTGATACCAGAATGGGTGAAATATTGCCGCCACGATCATTTTGATATAGATTTTGCATGAAACCCTAGAGATTTGATAGAGTTCTCATATGTTTTGGGTCTTGGGATACACATGCAACTTTCCACAAGCTTCCTCGATCGGTCCATGCAAAATCCCGGGTTTTATTGGTGATTTGCTAAGCGGGAAATCAAAGACGGGGCTGCTACGATCGTTTTGCACCAAAAACTGCAGAAAAATCCCTTCAATCGGCAGAGATAGGGCTGCTGGATGTTGTTAAAAACCCAAAATTGTGCAACACATAAAAGTTTGGCCCACTTGCAAGCCTCGAATGACTCTCGATTTGGATCCTGAGCGTGACTTTTATGTGCCATCTCGAAGGCCTTCGAGGCACGATCGAAATGCGCCCATTTTGGGTCCGAGATGATGGTCGGATGTCGGGTTATGGCCGAAGAAGCGAGGAGAGGTTGCATAGACTGTGTTTGCATAACATAAAAACTTATGATCTTCTCTCTAAGATCTCTTTCGATCCGACCGTTCATCACGAGTGAGGCTTATGCCAAATGAAAGTGCTTGGCTAGGAGCATAACATATCCAAATTTCACTCCGATCCACATCACACAATTGGAAGATAGAATGCCATCAAGTTTGCTCAATTTGGGAGATGGTTGCAGAAATTTGCCATTTTTGGCAGTGTTCTTAGGCTGCCATGTTGGAATAGTACGTCATATGCCCATTTTTGGAAAGTCGGGCATACGGGTGTCCAATGGAGACAAAATTCGGGGAATATGGGTTCTGGGACATCCCACGTCCATCCTTGACAGTCCGGAGACCATCATTGATCAAATTTTAGGGGTTTCTCGTGATTTTCGCTCTCTATTCCCATACACATGTAATGTACGGTCCCCTTATGTTGATCTTCTTGTTTCTTTTAGTTCCAACATCTAATTGAATTGGGATTTGGGGGTGTCTTCTCGGACGATACCTTCACACTTCTTTTGATGTCAATCCGGGGTCATCCAAGTGCTTTTCAAAATACTGGCCGTATTGTGCTCTTCACAGTAGTTCGGGTCTGGAAAGGCCTCAGTGTGCCGTGGTTCTTATTGGGTGAGTCCCCGGCCTTGGAACACTGGGTACTTTAATATTTTTGAGCCTAGGTGAGTCTTGAACGGGGCTCGTCCGTGCTTTCACAGCTTTTTCGGGTGCATTTGGTACTTAAAGCTGCAGTTGCTTCCATGGCCTCTATATTCGAAACGGGGGTGTGGTGTGTCAAAAATACATGCAAGCAGTTCCTACAGAATCCTATCTATCCACTTAGTCTAATATTAACCCTTAAATTCTAAAATATATTGAAATATTTCTGTATGTCAATATAACCCATCACATAAAATTAAATCCTGAAAAGTCCAAAACAACATCAACTATAACTCTTCACATAAAGCTAAATCCCCAAAAATTCAAAACAGTCCCACATCCCTTCAAACACTTAGACACCTTAAACGATGAGTAAAGAATAGGAAAGTTGGGCAGCCCTCTAGGGTTTTTAACCCAACTTTTCTTTTGCGCCAGAGAGCTTAGAATTGGAGATACGAGCTGCAAACTTTCTGTGAGAGAGCACTGGATTAGAGAGGCTGAGATCCCTTTTACCTTTTTTTATTTTTGTTTTTAATATGATTTTTACATATGCTAGGTGTTGATGAGAAAGACAGAGTTTTGAGAGAGGAGGGTAGAGAGAAATCTAATTGATTTTTTTTTGGAGACAAATTTCAGATTTGGAGAGAATGAGTTTCTGTTAGGGTTTTGAGTGAGGCAGACATTCAGATTAGGGGCTGATTTTATATTGAGAGAGAAAATGAGGTTATGGTCTAGATTTGATATGAACTGGATGAAGGTGAATAAAGAAAAGGAGAACGAATGAAAGAACGTTTAATGAAGAAGGCTAGGAAAGAAAGAAGGAAGAATGGAGGAAGATGCAATAAAGAGAAAGAAAGTTCAATGGAAAAGAGAAAGACTTAACCTTGATGATTACAGGCCCCAGAGATCGCCAAAATTTGATGTTTGCCATCAAGAAGAAAGACAGACAAGGGAAAGAGCAAGAGAGGGTGGCCTGAATCCCCAAGTCATTACATTGCAGTTGTACTTCATTATGTGATCAAATATTACATGACTGGATGTGGGTTTGTACAATTGCACAAGTACCCTCAACATCCAGGGATATTACATTATGAAATAAAAAATAATAATGACAATACTGCTCCTTATACATTATACATATTCATAGTCTAAAATGAACAATGGTTATGCATTTCATATATGAAAATCACAACAGCACTAAGATATTCCTATTGGAAGTTTCAAAGGAGCTTATTGCATTACGTTTTCTTAACATGAGCAACTGAAGTTCTGTAATTTTGGAAATTAAATTGTTTGTGGATATGTCATCGACCTAAAGTTTTTATTTTCATATGGGACTTGCATGTTCACAGAGTTTTAGTACTGAAATATAGATTTATAGATGAGAAGACAGCTCACACCAATTTGGATGATTGGAACGGATAAGTTTTTTTCTTTCTTTTTGCCACATTGACATGTTTGTATGGCTATCTTTTTTGGTTTTTGTTCCATGCTGGGTTCATATAAACAACCTCGTTGTTGCAATGGGTACTTTCCAATTGAGTTGTAGGTTTAAGCTCAATTGTGATGGGCTACATGAATTCATAAACATCAATTTGTTTTTGATAAATTTTAGTTTAAACAGTTATTGGATATATGATTGAAAATTTCAGAATGCAAAACTTAGCTTAGTTGATATATCATCAGTTATTATGTGCAATTGCAGAATTCATGGTCTTATTGCTTTCTAACTATATCACATCTATTCCCTTGCTAATCTGGACAGTTGGAATATGGGAGTTAGTGTTTTCTTCCATTGCTTCATAAGGGGGGCCTGTAAATGACAGAGCGTTGTATTGTACAGATTAAAGCTATGAAGGACAAAGGCAATCCTGGTGTAATTATTAATATTGGATCAGCCTCTGGCCTCTATCCCATGCATCATGATCCAATTTATTCTGGCACAAAAGGTCCTTGTTATACACCAGTGTTTTTGCATTCTTTTTGTCCTGTCGCTTAAACATTGTCTTGCATCTCATTGTAAACTTAACATATTTCCATTAATCATGTCAGTCATCCTATATTTGAAGTTGCTCATTATTTTATGCTTTTAACAATGTCTATGGCCTCATGGATTGATCTACAACAGGTGGAGTGGTCATGTTTACAAGGTCACTTATTCCTTATAAACGACAAGGGATTCGTGTAAATGTGCTTTGCCCTGAGGTAATAATGGATTTTGTTTATTTATTGAATTCAACACTATAGGAAATCATCTTCAGGTCTTCTGGTATTAAGAATGCGTGTCTTTTGTAAATTTCTACGATTCCTAAGAAATAACCTTTATATTGTAGAATGTCATATTGCTTGGTTTGTGAATTTGAGGATGGCTAGCCAACCTATGTCTGTGATTTTTGAAGTACTGAAATTTGTTGCTTACGTTTTCTGCTCCTGATTTATAGTAGATCCTGAGAAGAACTTAACCAAGTGTATCAAATGCAGTTTGTTCTAACTGAGCTGGCTCAGAAGATGGATCCCAAATTTATTCAATTGACAGGTGGCTTTATGACCATGAATATGGTTGTAGAAGGTACTCATTCTTCCTATAATGAACTCTATGCAATTTGTGGTTTGAGTTTGGACCGGAACTGTTGTGTTTCTGAAATAATATGACGTAGTGTGAATTGGCTGGCGAACTATACTTCTAAACATAAACATACATGTATATATGTATATGTGAATATCTCCATATTTGCAGGTGCATGTGTATATATGAATGGATGGATGCATGGGAAACAGTTCCACGTGTAGAGAGAATTGTTGTATTTTTATGGATTGTTCACTACTTATTTGTAATTGTAGGAAAGTTGTAATAGTCTATTGCTATTTTTTATTATTCTTTTACTGTCTGTACCCATGTATGTAAGTCTAATGTAACCTTCATGTGTTTGTGATATTTCCTCCATGCTTTTTTTTTTTTTTTCATGAGCGCAAGTAGCAGTTCCCTTCTCTGATTGCTTACGGAAGCAGATTGGTTATTCTCTTATACAATTTATTGTCCAACCTGGATGACATAGATTCCATTTAATAATTTTTTTGAAATGCCAATATTTGATGTATTGCAAGTGCAATCATCAATATGTGCGACATGTGTGAGATCATTAGATGCTAAAAGTGTAGGTTTGTGGTGGAAATGTGGGACCTGTAATTTGGTAGTGATCCTGCTCGAAACACGTTATACGTGCAAGAGGTTTTTAACTCCAGCATCTCTTAGGATTGTAAGGGTTTCAGCATTTTGTATGTTTCATTATCACTATTTTCATGCACTTGAGCCGACATTATGCTTCATTGAAGCTTCTTCATGTCTTAAAATATATACTGTTCATGCATACTGTTTCAGCTCTTTGCTTAATGTACACCATGTTAATTACTGTCCCATCTCTATTTATATGTTCTAAGACGTATCTAAAAAGAAAATGATCTATTCCCAGATTTTCTTGGAGAATGTCCCTGAACTGGTAGGGAATTCATACTTACATTGAATTGTTAGGGTTGTTTTTTATCTTTGATTGATAATAAAATTTTATTGATATTAGAAATAGGTGTTACTGTGATTAATGTGCTTTTCAATGGTCATTGGGAAGTTTCTTTTTAAAAATTGTAATTCTGTAAATTATGAACATTGTAAATTACAATGTTCCTATAAAAATTGGCTATAATGTGTCCAAATTGTTACCTTCTATTAATTGTTGCATGAGTAAAGCCCTATACCCTTTTGTAGGAAAGAAATTAGCATCATGACTGATTGGATTTACATTGATTGCTTAAATACATTATGAACCATATGATTATTGTGAGAAATGGGGTTTTATCTTATCATTTCAAAGCTGTATTATATGCCTAGGTGCTTTTGAGCTCATCGAAGATGAGACCAAGGCTGGAGCATGTTTGTGGATTACAAAGCGCAGAGGCATGGAGTACTGGCCTACACATATGGAGGAAAGGAAGTATAGAGTGAATCCTGGAAATCAAAGAGGAGCTCATCATACATCTTTCCTAGTATTGAAGTTCCACGCAGTTTTGAGAAAATGTAAGTAATATCTAGTCATTATCATATGTTTGTTTACCAGTGTTCCCTTTTAGGAGTTAATGTTGCTCTAATTATGAACCTTATCAAAGAACTGAGTCATGGAAACATGCTTTTTGTTTATGGGCATGTAATTTTTTAATTGTTGCTGGTAAATTCTTATATTGTTTGGTCTAATTGATGGAATCATGAGAATTGGTTATGTGGATATAGCATTCTTCTTTATAATGGTTAATCATGATCGACCATTGATCACTATGTCATACCTGTGTTCTAAAGCCTGACGATTTCCTATTCGGATTGCCAATCTTGATAAGAATCGGTCTTAGTCCTGCTAATTTTAGTTATACCATTCTACTTCTTCGTCTCTACTCCTATTATTACTAAAATTGCATTCCATATACTTTGTCTTAGTCCGGCTAATTTTAAAGCCTTTAGATTGTAGAGCATTCCTCCAAAGTTTTAACTTTGTGTTGATGTTGTTTGGGGTCTCATCGATCAAAACTGTGTCCCCCATTGCACTGTGGTGACAAGTTCTTGACTTGCTATTAAAAAGGAGACTGAAATCCACATTCCAAGATCATGGTCTCGCTGTTTATTGTCCAACTTTGACAAGCCAACATGACCCCTTGCAATGAAACTGTGGGTCCTGAGTCTTTGTTGGGTTGGATAAAAGAATAATAGTGGATCATGATTTCTAGGGCGAGTGGAGTGCCCTTATTTTCACTATTTTTGGCCCATTAGTACCAATTCACTCCTAGTATATTTTATTTTGGTATTAGAAATGTGTTTACGTTTTTTAAATATTTTTTAAAATTTGAAAATATTATTTATGTTGTAATATTCATTAAAAAGGGATTTATAAAATTTTCAAAACTTAAAATAAGACATGTGGGACTAAGGATCCAGCCCCACATGTGTGTGTTTTGTTATTTGTGGGGACCACGTGGTACCCCATAGCGGGCCACACCCTATTTATTTTTAAACAAAGTGCACACCCTTTTTTTTTACGAATAGGGGGCATGCCGTTTGTTTAGGAAGTGGAGGGCACACCCCACTTTCTTGTAATTGTTTAAAATTTATTTTAAATTAGTAGTGGCACACTACTTTTCTAAAAAAAAGGGAGCACACCCCATATTTTTGGTTCCAACTTTAAATTAGTTCAAGGATAGGAAATCTTTTGATTTTAAATGAGATTTGGTTTCCTATTTTAGTGGGAGTTTAAAAATATAGATTGTTCTTGATTTCCTATAGATTATAGGAGATCTAGATAATAATAAGATTAGTTATATTTTAAATTTAATTAAGAGTTGGATATGGGTTAAAATCTAAAAGGATAAGGTTCATATTTTCCACCCAAAATCATGATGGCTGATTTGTAGGTTAGATGTCTCTGATTAAATCTCTCACCCTACAAAAATTCCTAAATTATCCTAAAAGGTCTAGCTGGAAATTAGATAAGCATACCTAAAGAAATCTTATTCAAATTGGTAGATAGATTTCTTTCTATTTAAAGACCTAGTTTGAACCTCTTTCAAACATAGAATAAGATTCTCACTTACGCCACCCTCTCTTCTCTTTTGTTTCATGCTACTCTCTCTCTCCTATTCTCAATGCCACCCTCTCTCCTCTTAAAGAGAATCATGCTACTCTCTCTCTTTCTCTCTCCTTATTTGAGTAGCTTCTATTAGAAGAAAGAAAAGGAGGATCTTTAAAAAGAAAGACTTGCTGTATTTCGGAGAAAAGAAGGGAGACAACCAACCTAGAGAGAGATCAAGTCACAAGTTCAGCCTATTTTATTCCCATAAGGTTTCTATAAACCCTATTTGATTATTGAGCTCTCTAAAAACCCTAGAAAAAAAAGTATTGCCTATATAACTTTCCTATCTCCGAATTTCTAGGAGCACTTAAAGGAGTAAAAGTTCGCCATCGGTTACGGAATCGGGTGTGGGGTGTACCAAGACATGTGAGGGTAACTGCATGCATCTTCTCGTAACTCTTCCTAGTAGCTTTAATTAATTTTCAGAATTATTTCTTATTTTTTGTGAATTTTCTGGAACTTACATATTACTAAAAAAATATAGTGGAAGTTTGTTTAAAGCTCCTGGATAGTTTCTATTTCTTTTGACAGTGAAAATAAATATCCTAGGTTTTATCTAGGGTATTATTTTTTATTTACAACAATATTTAATGGCCTTTGTAAGTGGAATTTAGGTATATTGAATAAAAAGTAAAAGAAAATTTTTGAATTTAATACCTTGAGTTTCACATAGCCACTTCTTTCATATGCACAATAGTATCTCATCTTGTAGGTGCCCAGTTAAGCTATCTGTAATTAAGATAGAGTTATGGGCTCAATGCTGACCCTTGATGTAGACCTATTGTCGCTGAAAATTCGCTTGTCTCTCCACTAGTTGTTTGTATACTAGTTAGCACTCTCTAGTACATATCTTTCACCAAGTCAATACAGTGTCTTGAGACTATTTTCTTTTTCAACACACCAAATCAAATATTGAGGAACTTTATCATAATCTTTCTCTAGATTAATAAGGACCATGTGGAGGTTTTGCACTGGGCCGTCTCTTGTTGAGGTCAGAGAGATGCCTAAGATGATTTATAGGTTAGGAGAACTGTGTGGTTTCTTGTGTGAGGTTCTAGACGCTTGAGAACAAGGACCAAAGCCTCAACAAACTTCGGTACGGCATATATACATGACATCTGCATTACCAGGAAGCAGCCCTATAGAGGGGCACGTGTACATGTGCATAGAGAGCTCTCTTTTGCACTGCGGTGACAAGTATTAGACTTGTTCTTAAAGGGGAAAACTGAAATCTACATTCTTGGATCATGGTCTCACTGTTTATTATCCAACTTTGACAAGCCAATCATGAGCCCCTGTTTTGAGACTATGGGTCATGGGTCTTTGATGGAGGGAAAATTCTTTTATTTTGTATTTTTTTTCAATTTCAATGATGTAAATTGTAATTTTAATTTTAGGGTTTATTTCTGGGGTTTTTATTTATTTTTACTATTCACAAGTAGTATTCATGGTATTGTTCACAGGTACTATTCACGTGTTGCTGTTCATGCATTATTGTTCATATGGGTATTTTTAAAATTTTGGTATTGTTTTAGGGGTATTTTAGAGTATTAAATATTTACTTGAATCTCAAGTTAAATTAGGGTTTTATAGGCTTATAAAAAGTTGGATGTCATAGTTTGGGGGTATGTTATGTGGAATAAATTTTATTTTATACAAGAAGAAAGTCTTCTTCTCTTGGCTTGATATACAACCATGTTCTTTATCTCTTCTTGCTAATTTTTCTTGTTTAAGATTTAGGAGACTGGTGGATTCAATTTCTCACCTTTCCTTCCTGCATCAAATGGTATCAGAGCATGGTTCGAGGACGGCTGGATTGCGATGGCTTATCATGGAGGTCTTAGCTGTAGGGATGCCAATCTGATCCGACTGTACAAGGAAATCAACAACTTGACAGAGAAGATTACAAAACTATTGCTGTAAAAACAGTGCCAGCAAAAGCGTGCCCTAAACGAAGAGGAATCTATAGGGATAGATCCAAAATCATGAGGGTTTTTATGGAGAATAGCACGATCAGAGTTCGACTTAGAGTTGGAATGGAATGATGAAGCTGCCTTCAATCAACCACCCGTTGTATGCATGCGCTCCATGTTGGGAGCCTCATGTTCGGGAGAATAAGTCATGGGATTTAATCGATCTACATGATTTGAAAGAGAACGAGGTTGATCTTGGTGTAGGTCGTATCAAAAATCAGCAGGTTGTAGATTGGGATCTGCCACCAATTTTCGATACATACTTAGATGATGAACAAGATTTTAGAAGAGATCGAATCTCTATCTAGATTTCGTGGGTGAATTGATCTTTGATGAAGAAAAAGATGAAGATCTGAATCATTTAGGAGACTGAGGGCGCTGGAATCAGAGTAGCACAGTGGAAGTGTGGTCGACTCAAACTCTACAAATTGTGGTCCTGATTTCAAAAAGTGATCATTTAGATGTTGAAAAAACCTTCAAAGGCCAGAAAATTGAGTTTGGAGTATCTTACATGATTTTCAATGGGAGTTCACAAATAAATGAATTTGATAAATTTGCATGGATTCCTCATTACCTATATCAGGACCCATTTCTTGAGGAACTTTTTTTACCTCGAATGATATTTGAGCTGACAAAGGAAAAGGAGGTCAAAGAAGGTGGTTTTGATGTTGAGTTCATCTTAACACACTTCAAAACTCGAAGACGAGTTTTCTCCAATAAGGGGAGAATAATGGATGGCAAAATTCTTCTTATTTTGTATTTTTATTTAATTTCAACGATGTATATTGTAGGTTTAGTTTTAGGATTATTTCTAGGGTTTTAAGGATTTCAAGGGTTTTTTTTATTTATTTACAATTCACAAGTACTATTCATGGTACTGTTCACACGTTATTGTTCACATGGGTATTTTTAGAATTTTGGTATTGTTTTAGGGGTATTTTAAAGTATTAAATATTTACTTGAATCTCAAATTAAATTAGGGTTTCATAGGCTTATAAAAGGTTGGATGTCTTAGTTTGGGGGATATGTTATTTGGAATAAATTTTATTTTATGAAAGAAGAAAGGCTTATTCTTTTGGCTTGATTTATAACCACGTTCTTTCTCTCTTCTTGCTAATTTTACTTGTTTAAGATTCAGGAGAACGGTGGATTCAATTTACCACCTTTCCTTCCTGCATCAGTCTTTGTTGGAATGGATAAGAAAACAATATTGGATCATGGCTTCTGAGGCGAGTGGAGTGCCCTTGCTAATTTTGACCCATTGGTACTAATCCACCCTTAGTATATTTTATTTTCGTATTAGAAATATTTTTATGATTTTTAAATATTTTTTCAAAAATTTAAAATAGTTTTCCTGCTGTAATTTTCATCAAGAGGGTATTTTTGAAATTTTCAGAACATAAAATAACACATGTGGGACCAAGGATCTAGCCCCACGTGTGTATGTGTGTTTTTAGAGTGGGGACCACTTTCCATCCATAGGGGGACCACGACCTATTTTTTTTTTTAACCAAAAATGGGCAGTCCACTTTTTGGGAGAAAAGGGGGCACGCCCCACTTTCTTAAAATTAGTTGCAATTTTTTTTTTTTAAATTGGCACACCACTTTTTTGGGAATAAGGGGCACGCCTTTCTTTTAGTAAGTGGGGAGGCATGCCCCACTTTCTTGATATTCTTTGAAATTTAAACTAGTTAAATATATGATAGGAAATTGCTGGAGTTTAAATAAGATTTGGTTTTCTATTTTTGTGGGAGTTATTTAAAATTCAGATTTTCATTGATTATGGGAAATCTAGATAATGTTGATTGTAAATTTAAATAGGAGTTGAATTTCGGTCAAATTCTAAGGGGATAAGGTTCCTATCTCTCCACCCAAAATCAGGATGGCTTTGATTAAATCTCTCACCCTACAGATTTTCTAAATTATCCTAAAAGGTTTAGCTGGAAATTAGATTAGGCATACTTAAGGAAAAGCTATTCAATTTGAGAAATATATTTCTTTCTATTTAAAGACTTTGTTTGAATCTTTTTCAAATAAGACAAGAAGATTATCTTTCTCTCTCATGCACCTACTCTTTCTCTTCTCCATGCCAAGTTTGTTCTCTCTCTCACTCAAAATTAGAAGTCATGCGTCTCCCCTCTCTTTGCTCCATAGGGAGGCATGCTTCTCTCTCTCCTCCATATTGGTGTCATGCCACCCTCTCTCCTTCTTTAGGTATATCACACCACCCAAATAAAAGAAATGAGGTGTATCATATAAGACCCTAAAGCTAAGGTTTGTTGATTTTGGAAGAAGAAAAGATGTACAACCAGCTAAGAGAGAAATAAATCCTCTTGCCTTGCCCTAGTTTGATCACATATGGATTCTATAAACCCTAGTTGTTTTTTAGTTCAATAAAATTCTAAAAAAATAAGTATTCCCTACAAAGCTTCCCTTTCTCAGAATTTTCAGCAACACCTAAAGGAGTAAGTGCGCCACTAGTCATGGAATCGCGTGTGGGGTGTACTAAGACCTGTGAGGGTAACTCTAGGCATCTTCCAGTAAGCCTTCCAATTAGTTTTAATTAATTTTAAGTAGTATTTTCTATTTTCTGTGAATTTTCAGGAACTTGTTTTGTACTAAAAATTATAGTGGAAGTAAGTTTAAAGCTCTTGCATAAGTTTCTATTGTTTTGGCAGTAAAAAATAAAGATCATAGGTTGTATTATTTTCTGTGAATTTCCAAGAACTTGTCTTGTACTAAAAATTATAGTGGAAGTTAGTTTAAAGCTCTTGCAAAAAATTATAGTGGAACTTTTTTTTTTTTGAATTTAATACCTTGAATTCCACTTAGCCACACCTTTCAAAAAATAACACTAAGGATAATGATTTAAATCCTTTAAATATTGTAGCCTTTTCAGATGCAGTCTGGGCTGGGGACCCATGTACTAGAAGATCAATTACAGGTTATTGTGTGATAATGGGAAGCAACCTGGTATCCTGTTGTAGCAAGGAATAAAGGTCAATAGCAAGGTCAAGCACAGAGGCTGAGTACAGGCAATAACAGTAGTCACATTTGAAATTTAATCTATAATGAGTCTTGTTATGATTCTTGGTCATGAATTATGTACTATTGTTCTATACTGCAATCGTCAAAGTGCAATAGTCATCTCCATGAATCTAGTGCTTCTTGGAAAGACAAAACCCATTCAAATAGATCAACACTTTGTGAGAGAGAAAATTGAAGACAAATACTTAGTTCCAAATTTTGTTGGGACCAATGAACAAGTGGCATATATTTTTACCAGAGGGGGACCAATGAACAAGTGGCATATATTTTTACCAGAGGGCCGACTAAGCATAAACATAGACTTCTATAGGGCATGCTGTCCATGATTGTTATAGATGTAAACTTGAGGGGAGATGATCTAATGTGATGTGCAAGGGCAAACGTGTAAATAGAATTTTATATTTGTCTTAGTTATTTTATGTTCAATATGTAATAATTGATATTGTCATGGGCATATTTGTAATTTTACATTTTTAACTATATTTGTAAATATAAAGATGTCTGAAATCTAAGTTTGTCTTGGATTTCCGTTGTTCTTTCACCCATTGTCCTTCTCTGCTCATGCATGTCATCTCTCCTTTCTTTCTTGAATATTTTGCAATGTCAGGAATTCCTAGATCATTTAACTGTGCAATAAGACTAATGATCTCTTGCTTTTATGTGAGATAGAGGTCAATACATTTACTGACTGGTGTATTATTCTTTGTTTCTTGCTTATCTAGGTGACCATAAAGATTTTAGACTCTTTTGAAATGTAGCTTCCAATAAATATGTTATAAGTTGGATATAGGCAATGAAGAAGACTTAAGACATTTCATCCTGATGAAGCAAATTTACGGAAAGATACAATGAGCTACAAAGAGTATTAACATTAAATCTATCAAGTCAAAACTAACAAGGAGTTGGCCTTCATATTTTGGTGAGCTATCATATGATATGGTGCTAATGGCTTCTGACTACTTGTTGTATGTGTTTAGCAAGTGGCCCCATTTAGGAGGATAATTACACACTCTAGTATTCTGACCTGTGTTTTACTGTCCATGGGATGGGCAAGATACAATGAGCTACAAAGAGTATTAACATTAAATCTATCAAGTCAAACTAACAAGGAGTTGTCCTTCATATTTTGGTGAGCTATCATATGATATGGTGCTAATGGCTTCTGACAACTTGTTGTATGTGTTTAGCAAGTGGCCCCATTTAGGAGGATAACTGCACACTCTAGTATTCTGACCCGTGTTTTACTGTCCATGAGATGGGCAAACGAGACATGGTTTCAATATACCTATGCTGAGAGATGATATCCCCAAGGACACCATGTACCTCGATACCAGGGAATTAGTGAAGTAATATCATGTCTTTTATGTGAAACTGTAGATGGATTTTCTTCTCATTATTAAGTAACTAGTGTGATCATCAGTTGAGATGTTAAAATCCGCATATAAAGGATGATGATTCCCTGAGCGGCAATTTTAACAAAGATTGAACTATATTTGCATTAAAGACATTGTCTCGTAATTTCTTAATCTGAATTTTGCGAGCTTCTTTGATTCCATAATGTCTGTGTGAAGACGCCACCCTGATGACGGATATACAAGCTGATGACCGTGTGCAGGCTATCTATAAACTTCCTTTTGGGATCTTCATGTAATTACATTCTCCAGATAGCTGGTAAATAAACAATTTTGAACACTTTGGCCAAGCAAATAAGTTTGGACACCAAATGGTACTCATCTCTGACATAGGGTCAAAATGTTCTTGTAATTGACTCCAGGCTCTTTAGACAAGCCATAAGCAATGAGTAAGCCATATGCTATGAGTAATGTGTTATATCTTTCCATATTGCCATCATCTATGATTTACCGTTGTCCACCTGGAAGCCACTCTTTCTGCGCCAAGTGAAACAAACTTCCTTGTGTGTTTTCTTGAATGGTTACAAATTTCTCTATGAAATTTGGCCTGAAGGTTGAGATGAAAGTTTGGTAAAGTAGAGGGCTCAGTGATTATGGAATGGCTGAAAAAGAACTACAGAAAGATACAAATGGCAGTTAAATACCATGGCTTTCACGTGGATTGCTGAAAAGAATCAACTGCCATTTGCATTGGGGGAGGGGGCACTTGAGAGATGGACAATAGGTAACTTCTGACTAATGTGTAGGAAGAGCAGATGATGTAGATGAATGCTAAATTTGTACTGGGTTTTCCATCTACAGAGCCGTCTTTCAATGATATAGCAATAATTGCATATTTCATCTGGACTATAGTACACCGTATGTGTTTAATGTGTTTTCCATCATTCATGTTATAACTTAATCATTGTTTAATCTCACATTTCTTGCATATCAATGGAATACTAGAAATTGTATCTTTATATTCTTCTACCCTGGAATTTGTCCTTTTCCTATATAATGATTGAGGGTGAACATCCTTAGAAGTCCTTTACTTTATAAAAGAGGCACAAGTTTGTGACCTAAGATATCCTACTTCATTTTCTGTGCAGTTTGGAGTTGTAGACACTCTACGTATAATCATTTCTATTTGAAAATGTCTCGTTATCTTTCTTATGTTCCTCCTGAAGCATAAGAAATTAAGAACTGTGAAAGGACTGCGGTATTATGTCGATCAGTTGTATATTTTCTCCTCTTACCAATAACATCATCTTAATCTGATTGGTATGCTTACACTTCATTGTTGATTGATTGTGAAGTTGATCTCTCACCCGCAAATGGATGCTCTTGAATGGATTAAGATTATTTGTACAATGCTTTGTTAAGGCTTGCTTCTCCACAAGTAGCTTCTCTCTTAATCTTCTTTGAGTTAAGAGGAACTGTTTCACTTGTTATTTGATGTTTTTACATAAATTTTTTCATTTTGTAGAGTTGTTCACACCCTTAGTCATAACTTCCGCAAAGCAACTGCAGTTGTAAGAACAAGTTTGAAATTCCCTATCAATGATCAACATGTCCTCATAAAAATTTTATATGCAGGTGTCAATGCAAGTGATGTAAGTTCCTTTTGTTAATCTGTATCATTCAAGCATTAACTTTTCAATGCTTTTGCATCAGCGAAACTACACTATAATCCAATTGACAATGGAAAATTATAGCCCTTGGGGGACATTACCATTTCAAAAAAATGATTGATGGTGATGGCGAGAGAGTGGGACCCACCATTTGGGTCATTCCCTCTTCTGGTGGGTCCTAGTCTCTCCCAACACAACCATCATTTCATTGGATGGTTGCTGCATGGACTATTAGTTACCATAGTGCCGTAAAGAGTTGGTGCACATAGTTTACCAGTCACTTTCCTGAAAATTTTGGACTTTGTGTTTTCATTTTGTTTAACATGAAATCATGAGTTGCAGGTGAACTTCAGCTCTGGTCGTTACTTCAGTGGTGATCAGAAAGGCATAGCTTCTCGTCTCCCTTTTGATGCTGGTTTTGAGGTGGTGTTGACCTTCTAATGCTTCATTTATTTTCGTTGTCATCATTGTAACGTGAGTCTTTCTTTTACGTCATTGTTTGCGGCTTTATTTTTTAGTTGCTTCATTGTAGTTTGAATGTGGATAAAGTAACAGGTGATAGAATACTATTTATGGAGATACTGGTAGCTCAAGGTTTGTATGTGCTTCCTTTGTAAATAAACAATCAAATTCTGATTAAACTTTGAATTAACCAGTGGTTCTATTTGTCGATGTAGCTGCTAAAACAAGGAAATGAGTCTTCATAAATATCTATAACTGGTTTATTTTAATTATTTTCTATCTTTTGGTCAAAACCATTGTTTCTGGTGAACTGATTTCTGCTAACCTCTTTCTTACCGCAGGCTGTGGGTGTTATTGCAGCCGTTGGAGAATCTGTCAAAGGCTTAAAAATTGGCAGCCCGGTTGCAACCATGAGCTTTGGAAGTTATGCCGAGTTCAGCCTGGCATGTCTTTCCCTCTTTGTAAATCTAATAAGATTTGCATTTCTTTTCTTGGGTGTTCCATATTCTTTATCAAAATTTTCCTGCTTGACTAGTGACCATTTTGCTTGTAATATTTGTTAATATATTTTTCCCTTTCTACAATGCTATATTCTAGTGTAGGTTTCAGCCAAACACGTCATTCCTGTTACAAGACCTGATCCTGAAGTTGTGGCCATGCTGACTTCAGGCCTAACAGCATCCATTGCTTTGGAAGAGGTTTGTATGTCCATGTGATTGGGGCAAAATATTACAATACACAGCCTGTGTATAATACATATCTCTATGGCACACCGCTGAGGCATCCACTATTCGTTCTGCATGATGTATGGCAGAGATTAACTGTACCTGTGTGCACTTCTTTCATCTGGAATTGCTGTTTATCTCCGCTGTTTGTCATTGGAAACGGATCGTAGATGCTCCGGCCAAGTACCCTAATACCATATGAATGCTGTGCATTGAGTGCTTTCTTGATTGTAACGATCTTTTGTGGGTTACCAGTGCCGTGACATTTTATGTGGGTAATTTTATCATTGATCATCAACTCGTTATGTGTCATTCATTCTTTAGCATGTAATTTATTCTCTCGTTGGACTTTCTAGGCTGCGCAGCTGGGCTCTGGGAAGGTTGTCCTTGTTACAGCAGCTGCAGGGGGTACTGGTCAATTTGCAGTTCAGGTGGAGTACTTTTTTTTCATGGTCATTGGTTCTCTCATTATGGCAGCATTACTTTTGTCAGTGCTCAAGTATGTTGTTTTTCCAGTATGAGGCCACACAGCTACTTTTTAAGATGCTTCTATGATTTATTTATTTATTTATTCTCCTTTTCTTTTCCTTTTAAGAAATAAAAATCTTGGATTTACTGCCAATCGGAAGTGCATGACCATAAGAAACGAACTAAATATGAAATAGCCCAGGCTTGGGTTACTGTCATTGCTAGCAAGGGTTTACTTATAATGCACATAGACAAAGCTCTTTAGAAGAGCCATAAGCTTTTGGTTTACTGCCTGTGGAGAGAGATATGAAATATGACGAAATCTTTCCCTCACTGCCAGCTTGGGTTTACTTACTATGGAAAGAGATTAAATTTGGCCATTTGTTTGTTAGTAACATATTTTCCTATATATTATAACTTTCAATCTCATCATTCTGGATTCATACATAAAGTGTGGGATCATAAGTGATTTTATTGAAAAAAAACTACGTCAGGACATGCTGTCTTCCTAAAAACTGGTCAGATCAACCATTCCAACCTGTCAACCATTAGTTCTTGATGCAGCACAGAGTATTGATGGACAAGATTAAATAGAACATAGGGCTGGAAATTCAATAAATTCAATAAAAGTGAAGCCCAATAGGCTTCAATGGAGAACCTCTTTCCAATGATAAAATCCTGCTCCCTAACCTCTTTACAGAGTTTTAAATAGCGACTCTTCTAAACCCTAAATTATAATAAAACACGAAAACTACCCCTACTAAACAATCCTCAAAGCTCCACACCAGCCCTAAACAATATTACATATCCCACAAATGCAAGTATGAACAGTAACCCATGAATGGTAATCTGTGAACAGAAAAAAATAAAATAAAGAATTAAATGCCGGAGATGACATCAGCAGGACTGCATCAGTTTTGTTTGATTCAAATGTAATGGACGGGATCAGAAGTGATTTCATAAAAAAAAAAAATGAAAGCAAGAAAAGAAAAAACTAGGTCAAGGCAATCTGGTTTCCAAAAACCTGCGTGGATCAACCCTCCCAACCAGTCAACCATTAGTTTTGTTTGGTTTTCTTGAAATTTTGATTTTTGAGGATTTTGACCAAACTAGAGTAGGTCCTTATTCCTGTCCTAGCCGATCAGATAGGTATATGAGGTCTCCTACGACCTATTCTGTGCTGATGCTAATTCTACAATTAAGGCCTTTATGATCACTCGTGCTGGTAGAAAGCCAAGGTGATTGAAGGAATGAGATGTTTTTCTGGATTGGTTTCTTGTTTGAGATTGTTCAGCAAGACCCGTATCTTTGCATTTTTGCACTAGCTAATCCTTTGTTCTACAGTATAGTCATCTGGACTAGTAAATTTGGTGTGGAAAAAGAGCATTTTGTATCCTTATGTTAGATTCTTAACTGGCACTTCTTTTATTTTGCTGGACCAGAACTGGTGCATTTTTACTGCTTTGAATTTTGTTGTTTCACTTAGATTCGTAATTGTAGAATTCTGATGCTCTTGATCTTTTATGCTCAACTTTTTTTGTCCTTTTCTGGGCTTATAATCTGATGATTACTAGGTAATAATTACTTGAACATGTATCTTTGAGACTGTAATTGCCTCTAGTTCAAGGGCATTGTATATATTTACTTATAAACTAATGTTTTGAACAGCTTGCGAAATTAGCGAGGAACAAAGTTGTTGCTACTTGTGGAGGCGCAGAGAAGGCTGGGCTTTTGAAAGACTTGGGGGTTGATCGTGTCATCGATTACAGAGTAGAAGATATTAAATCAGTATGCCTTTTGCATGCATTATTATGCTCCATTTTCCTTTTGTCTGTTTCTTTGTCATTATGTACTTTTGACCTTGTTCTGCCTTGCTGGAAATGTTGAGAAAGGCTCTTTGAAAATAGTTGCTTCATATTATGTAAAGAAAACATGATACGCTTTCGTATGGTCAGTCAGTTTTCGGCTTCATGGGGCTAAAATTTGAAAGTCCAAGCATGTGACACTATGGATATTTGTTAATATATAGGAAATACATGGTCCTTAACACAACCTCTCTGTTGTATCTAACAGATAGAACATTTTTGTTATAAATAAAATATGAGTGTAGGTTATGTGTGATGTAGGTACTGAAGAAGGAATACCCCAAAGGCGTCGATATTATCTATGAATCAGTCGGTGGTGAAATGTTCAATATGTGTTTAAATGCATTAGCAGTTTATGGAAGGATGGTTGTCATTGGGATGATCTCTCAGGTATTAATGTCTTTGTCCACTTGGTTTTGCTTGTTATTGTTGATTTATCCGGCACACATTTATTCTCATTTCTGCGTGTTTTGTTAATTTTTCTTCCTTTACATAGTCCATCATTACTTATACTGTTGTACAATTTGCATAATAAATATTTACCTTGGGGTTGACAACTCTTGCATTGGGAACCAACATGATTCATTGAAGGCAGAGATGAAGGCATGCTGTACACAAATTTTTTCCCTTATATGATGGGGCTAATAAGGATTTTTCTGAAATCCTTTTCAATAAAATGTAGTGAAATGTGAAAAATGTAAAATTGTGATATTTTTTGAGCTAAAGCTCTTTTCCGTCCTACTGAAAATTATATCAGCTGATGCTGTTTCTTTGTACTACCATCAACAAAAAGAAATAGAATAATATAATTAAAAGGATGTACTTTGAGATGTGAACCCCCTATTGACACTCTGTAGTATCTAATCTGTTTGGATGTGAGCATTAAATTTTTAAAATGAGAAAGTGATAATTTTCTATTTTTTGGGGGTAAGTGTGATAATTTTCTTATTGATACTTGAATTTTGACATAGTTGAAAGGTACCATATTGTTCATGATACCAATTTGACATTTTCGCTTCTCCTACATGGTTTTGTTGGAAGATCACAAGGCAAATGTTTGGATGCTGCAAATTGCCAATCATATTATTTGAAAACTGGCTGCCTTTGGTATCAGCTTATAAAATGCATTCACATGTAACAGTTGTGATGAAATGTTCACTAGGAGTCACAAGTGCCTCTAAAATAGTGATCAGCATAGTTATCGAGAGCGGGAGCGGGTGCAAGGGCCTGGGATTGACCCTTGGCTCCCTACCCTTGGAGCGCATGGGACCGCTGCTCAGGGAGCGACCTGGGAGCGATCTCTATATATGCACCACATGTATATGGAAGCGTTGGGGGAGCTCCACACACGCACACGCACACACCGCTTATAGGTGAAAATGAGCAGTGATTTCGCCTATCCCCATCACACACACACACACACACACCGCTTATAGGTGAAAATGAACAGTGATTTCGCCTATCCCCATCACCGTCCAAAGTTCATCGTGCGGTCACACATACACACCGCCTATAGGTGAAAATGAACAGTGATTTCGCTTATCCCCATCATCGTCCAAAGTTCAACGACGGTCACGATTGTCCGGTAGTGTTTCATTTTCCTTTTTTTTTTTACAAATCAGAATGACCTGAAATTTTGAGAGTGTTTTCATCGAAAATAGGGGAATCTTTAAAAATTATAAAAAAAATATTTTACATGAAAAACATGACTAAAATACCCCCAAAAATTTTCGGGGGGTATTTTGGTCAATTTATTTTTTGCTGATAATTTTTTTTTATATTTTTATTAGATGTGCCTCAGTAAGATGTACATACCCGCCAAATTTCAGGTCATTCCGATTTGTAGAAAAAAAATGAAAAATAAAACACTATAAAAAATTGTGACCGCGCGATGAAATTTGGAC